AGCTGTTTTCTATTCCATAAATATCTTAAAGAAAATGAAAATGCCCCTTGAAATCCTAAGACGTGGAAATAAACCGTTCAGGAAACATTTCCCATAAATTTAAATGTAAACTCGGTTTCTTACCACGGGGTTTTTGAGCACAAGCTCGAATACGGAAGTGCCAGAGAAAGTCTAAGTTTATTTTATGAATCCAAAAACAACCTTTTTGAAAATACAGATATATGTTTATTTTTACCAAATAGTTTTTTCTCACATCACCAAAAGATAAGGTAATCGAGCGTAATCATTCTTACTGGTGGGAGCTAATAAGACTCCGAGCTAGCTTGTTTCAAACTTCACCAAATTATTTCGTTCACTGTTAAGAAAACCCAGCTGTAGAGGCTCTGTACTTGAGAGCTGTACTTGACCACAAATGGATCGGACGGGCTTATGATGACGTCAGTGTCACACATGAAAACAGACAAAGATAATCGCTTAAGATATAAACTTCCAATACCCTGTGTCATATATGAGTAAACCGAATTGACGGTGCATGAAATGTTTTGGTTATTTTTTCATATTCATGCCCGAGAAAACAGTTAACCAACTTTTCCACAGTAAAACAAGGGTAAATCAGCAGTGGCGCTGCCTCGAAAGGTTCTCTGTTGACTGGGGCATCGTAGTCATTAAAATAGACGTTATCAATAGGTAAACGCGTACGTTTGTCATGAAAAATAAAATAAAATAAAAATAACAATAATAAAAAATAACAATAAAACATAGAAACTCATTTGGTTGGCGACTAGCATAATGCAAAGACCGCACTAGTGGATTTTTGGAGAACAATATCCTGCTTACATATACTGAAGGGAAGATTAAAATCATGGTCGATTTACTGCTGCTCAAACGTTTGTACAGTATTATGGTAAGTTCATTTGATTGCAAGTTGCGTTCACTTTACCCTCCTTTGCAATAAGCAACAATCACTTAACAACAAACAACAACGATTTTATTCTTTTTAGGCAGGACTTGAATAGCTTGCCCCGCAAATGGCTAGAAGCTATTCGTGGCGGGGCACGGACAAGTACATGAATAACGTATCTACAGAATGACCATTAAACGGCCCATTAAACTATTACAAAGCCTTACAGATTACAAGGACCTATAACTACACAGCATGCACTTACTGAGAGACAATGCACTAAGATCAGGAGTCACTGACTCTTAAACTGAGATGAATAACGCAGAAAAGGAAAAGCAGACATTAATGGGTTTAATAAGTGTATCTATCTTCACTGCCATTATATAATTATATGATATAAATGTTAACAAAATACGATATACTAAACGCCCGCATATAAGAACAAGTGGATTAAGAGCATCAGGCTGAAATGAAGTTTGACAAAAAGGAACATATAGAAGCAAGTAAGCCTGACAAGTAAAACATGTTGTTGTACAAAAAGAAAAAGGATGCCCCCAAATAACGAACCTGCGAGACTGAAAATGGGCTAGTGGCTGCTGGACTTTTGAACTAAGAAATGTTTTGAAATATTGAAACTACTTAACAAATTGAAGTTGAGTTTTTAGTTGTTAGTGTTTTCTGATATTAGTTATAGTATTCATTTATATTTTTATTTCAAATTTATTTTTCGTGTAGTAATAAAACATTGTAATGTCAATTAAACCTCTATTTTAATATATAGATTTAGCCAGGGCTAAAAGCGAAGCTCTCGATAATATTTACAGTTTGGTCAAACAAAATAGAAAATCGCGTAATGCTAAGCGGTGAAGGCAACGCCGGAGAACGGTGAAAAACAACAATAGGTCTAATTAGCAAAAAAGCAACTTTGCACGTGCAGCACACTTTTTTCGTACATTTCTTTGCCGTTGTTTTGCACGACTACAACGTGAAACTTCCAGAAACTTTTTTATGGAGGCAGTGTCGTAAGTGTTCTTGTTCACTTTTTTTCCACTGCTGCTCATTTTCTCCTTGCATTGTTGGCCTTTAGCATTGTCACCGCCGCTACAAAATTTTCATGTTGAGGTTGTTCTTCCAACAAAAAAATGTGCTTCGCGCGCGGGTGGAGCTCCGCTATTAAGAAATTGATCAGCCTGAACTCCGAAGACATGAGGCTCATATATGCACGCGGGTGTTAACTGTATAATAATAAATCTACTTAGCCAATAAAACTACTGGCCCGCTCTTGATAAGTCATGAAACAGTTGTTTTCCCTCCACGAACGTGCTTTATACCACGTTGGTCCTGTAAAGTAACGTTTTCTAGCAAAAACTAGGCAACTCTTGCCGAACGTTAGCGAAATAACCGCACCTTTGTCTTTTTTCTTTAAAATGATCCTAGCTAAACTAGTACACTAAAGTAAATAATACAAATGTTAAACCTGTCTTATAACATTTTAGTTCTAGTAATTCGTGCTAAGGCTACTTATTCACTTCCGCTACAGACTGCACTAAAGTGCGGCACAAAACCTATCTGATGCATGACGCTCCACTTTTGATATCGGCGCGGCACAGCTTCGCTCCGTCCCAGAAATTTCACCGAAGTCACCGTAATTATGGTGAACAGAAGCTCTATCCGGTAGGATTTTTGTGCCTGCGCAAAAGATATCGGGTATAGTGTGAACATAGAGCCTTAGGCCCGATTTCTAGGAAGAGCTCGCCGGGCTCATATCCCGAACACCGATATTTTCTTAATAAACAAATAAAATACACCTCAATTTGGTTTTATCGTCTGAGCTCATTATAAGTCGATTTAACAACGTAAAGAGACTGAGTCAGGTTGACTGGCGGAGGGCACTCGAAACGCCCACTTTAAATCTTAAATCTTTTCACAGTGATAGTTTGCCAGCTCAGTTGTTAAAACTAAATCATTGTGTTTCTCCCCCTTGCCGATACAGCATCACAGTGTTTTCGGTAGAGTTCATTTATGAGTCTACTTATAGTCCAATAATTGCGTTCAAGAGAGGATAAAGGGGACAGAGAAGGCATCCCCCCTACACACCCTATTCCATAGGTAATTCGCCTCGAGTTATTTTTAGAATCGGGATAAAGTTACCTCGCGCGCTGCGTGGATGTTTCGTGGAGGTTTTGCATGACTAAACGCCGTGCAAAACATGTCGGGCGAAAGGCAATGAAAGCGTAAAGAGATCGAGAGCATTCCTAAATATTGAAGCGAAATGAGTCTGCGCTCACCTGGGAAAAGGGAATCGCTGAACTCTTTGACAACCTATGAAATCAGTTTAACTCGAAGTTGTCGTAACCTCAGTGCTTTAATAAAATGAGAAATCTCGCCGGTCTATTGACACTGATCGTTTGTACAATAAAGCAAGTAGGACGCCAAGTGTTATTTTTGTCGAATAATAAAAGACTAATAAAAGAATAAATATCAAACCAGAAATTACTCTCTTCAAACTGTAAATTATAAATGATCCTGAGAGAATATTCAGTGTGTTAAGGATTTCCCTGCTGTACTGTTAGCTCTATACAAGAGAGGAAGGGCGATTCTTTTTTAATTTCCGTTTCGCTGACACAGCTTTAGCAGAAATCTCTCTGTAGTCGTTTTCGTCAACAAGACGAATAGCAATATCACTCTGCGCGTCTTCCACCATTTTGTTCTGGGCGCGTGGCTCTGAGCGTGGATCATCCACGAGCAACACATTCGCGCTATGTGATTGGTTGTTGTCTAATCCCCCTTAAGAGTTGTGGTGTTAAAAATTACTCGAGACGAATTACCTATGGAATAGGGTGTGTATGGGGGATGCCTTCTCTGTCCCCTTTATCCTCTCTTGTTGCGTTCTATGGCCCTTTATACAAGGGGACTACATGCACAAGTCTTGTAGTAAAAGTGTAGAAGAAACTAGTAAGTTAATTAACAAACATTGCAGTGTATTGTAAATGACAACGCTGACAATAAAATAAAAAAAAATTGAAAATAGCGAAATAATTTAGAGCCCGATAAATTCCTAAACAATCTAAAAAATTAAGAAGACGCACTATCCTCTATTATATAGGCTTTGTCAACAAGCTATCACACGTGCATTCGCTGAGGACTTTCATGTATTAGTATTCCAAATTATACGTTGAGGGTGGATAAATTAGACGAAGGGCTTTTTGGACTGAAATCTGTCTTATCACCAGGGCAGCCCTAACGGACGTCTAATGCACTAAAACCTTTAAACCCTAGCTGAGTCTTTTGGGGGACGAGCACTAATACCTCGACAATTATGACACCGAGCTTCATGTAAAATTATGTACTGCAAAGCTTAAAGAGTTCTTCCCTTACAATCAAGCGAGTCAAGAGTTTTGGCCCATAATCTGATAAGCGACCACTACCTTTATTTCTTATTTTACCAATTTTAAGGCCACAAATTCGACGTTTTTTGTTTTCTGTAATCACCCCCCTAGAATTACTCGAATGCCACAAAAGATAAGTTCAGTTTCACAACATCTCTGACCCAGGGTGCTAACAAATTTAGTAACAGCCGAGACAGAGTGTACTTCCAAGACGTGATAGATGAGTTCGGCGACTACTGTCGGGGATGTGAAGAGTTATCCTTTGCACTCACTAAGTGTCTGATATTCTTGTTGACTTGGGGCTCAAAACACGAAAGCAAACGGGCCTTCGAGTCCTTCGAGACTTCGTCGGAACGCGTTCAAATGCGACCGAGTTATTTGATAAAATACAGTCTGAACTAGAGTGCAAGCAATTCAATGCAATCCACGTTTCACATCCTGTTTTCCAGGTTTTGGTGCTTAAAATTGAATTTAGGTGATTTATGATTAATTAAATGACTGATAAATTTTTAACTGCATGGTACCTGCTGCTCGTTAAAAGAACAGCTTTTTAGTTTCAAGTATACTAATTATCTAACGCTAATTACAATGTAATTAAGTTTGAGCTTACGGTTATGTTTTTCCTCAAGCGACTACTTCCTGTAAGCGACCACTTTTCTCTTCACCAAGGGTGGTCGTTTATTACAAGAGAGCTGACCGTAAGTGTCAAACTACAGTGTAGAGAGAATCGTTTCGATTAAAAAAAACACATTCCTTTCCAATGTGCTAAGCAGCGATGAAGGTTCTACAGAACCAACCGTTGCGACTGCTATCGCTTCCCTTAGGTGCATTCCGCTTGATAGGCACTCCAGCCAATCACGACCAAACATATGAACATTGTGCCCAAAGAAAGGGGACGGCGGTACCTCGCCAAAACGGTTCCATACCAGAAAATCTTTTTCAGAAATAACAAGATGCCGCAGTATACTCCTCCCCTCAAACTGTTTATAACCCCACAAGGGGGTAAAAACACGTAACCGGTATTCAAACTTCTTAGGTATTAACACGAATATTTTTGGCTTGCCATCAAGAGAGGGGCATTTATCGCTTGTGAAAAGCGATGTGATTGTCTTGATGTCAATGACCTTGTCATCAGTTCCACATATTCCATGTTCGGTTCCAGTGCTCCGGATGATGCAGCAAAAACAGTCGTTATTGGAAAAATCTCTTTGTGCCGTGTCTGTTAGTGCCTTTAACATGTCACTTGTAGTCAGGTAAATATCTTCTCTGGTCGTAAAGCCGAATTTCTCTGCGAAAACCATTTTTTCAGTGCTTTCTAATTCAAACGGATCATTAGTGGTAATGGGAGAGTTGTTTATTATCAAGACATAACCAGACGTCGCGAAGTAATCACCTTTGACCACCTGGCTGGGCTTTCCATGGGTTGGTCCTGCAAATATATGAATACACTTCCATGACGTGAACCAAATTAAAATTCATTGCAATTGAACTACAGTAAAAATCCGCGGGTAAGAACCAACTGTTTTAAGAATAGTGACCTGCGGGCAGAAATTTGCCCAAAAATATAAGAACCTGCTTAGCCAAGCAAGATCAAGTAGGTTCTTATATGTTGGTTATAATTTAATAATTGTTATAAATCATTTAATAACGGAGTTTGACTTTTAAATCGCAAATTTATACAACAAGGAAATACTTTATTTAACTAGGGTATCTAAAAGATAGTAATGCTGCGGCACATTCTGTTGATACTGGCATTAGTTAGGCAGTGAGACTTAAAAGAATCAAAAACGACATTGAATGTCCTATTTACATGTTGGAAAGTACTAGAATAATTACTATCAGTCTAAAGAAAGAACTCGTGGGAACTTTGTTTAGAAAATGATCAAGTGGTTAACAACTCTGGTTTTCCCACAGTAAGTTGTAGGAAGTAATAGAAATTCAGATCGTTTATCCATATATTTAATATACGGTGCACGATATTTTCTCTGGAAACACAATACTTTTCTTGCTGTTTGTTGCACTTTATTAAGTAACAGTTACTTAGCTATATATTTATAGAAAACAACAACAACACAAAAAACGGGAAAAAAAAGAAAGAAGGTATATTTAACTTAGTAGGATTCGAACCCGGCACCTTCGACTCGACGCGACTGCACTTAACCACTACACCATTGTTAGGAAAAGTCTTTCATTTTATTCCTTTTCCATGAAACTTCCGCCGGCAAGATGATCGCCAGCCGCATTAACCGAGCTATCAACAGTGAAAAAACAATGTAAACTCATATTCCATGGCAATAAATTATGCTTTTCAAAACGCCGATACACGTCCTCGTCTGCAAAGTAGGACACAAAACATATGTTTTGTTAACTAAATTTCCGCTGTTATTTTGAAGCGAATGGTCAAAATCACGTCCATTTTCGGCTCATACAGTTTCTTAAGAATAGCATTGCATGACGTTTTCTCACTTTCACATCACCTTCTAACAAGCTGGAATTTGTATATCCCCCGTCTTGCGGAGTCGAAGAGCAAAAAAGGCTCTTGAGTCAAAAAAGGCTCTTGAATTGAAATCCAATCCCCAAGTTAACCATCGTACTCATCTAAAAGACTCCTGCGTGTCTTAAAATTTGGAAAGTCGCGCAGCAGCGAACGATGCACTCTCTCACCCACCGAACTTCCCCGTGTTTTTATTTGAATTGTTCGTGGCGCAATGCACTCTGGTTAAATGCAATGCATTGTGGTAAAAAGTGTGGTTAAATGCAATGCATTGTGGTAAAAAGTGATGAATTCGAGAATTCGTCGCCCCTTATATATTTCCTTTAAATCCTGATTATGTTGCTGCTCGCTCCCCTCGGTCGCTCCGCAGCAATTATTATTTATTGAATTTTTTTGTCTCCTCTTTTATTATACAACTCCCATCCTAGAGACGTAAAATCTGTAATCAGTTTAGTTAGGCTTTTCGTAATACAAATGTGAATAAATACTGTTTATTATACAGCTGAATCCGCGGGCAGGCAAGATGAAGGGAATCCTGCGTTCTGACTGGCTACCTAAGTGGAGGGTGTGAATGGGGTTAACCGACTAGCGACAAAGGGCCAAAAATATTACTGACTACCGACAAAATGAGTAAAAAATTACCGACTACCGACAGGAAAAATATTAACCGACTACCGACATGGGCTGATATTATCAACATTTGTTTCCACAAAAAAGAGCATTTTGTATTTAATCTAACCATTAGCTCGAGGAAGTAAGTAAGCTCTTTAAATTTAGCCCCCCCGGGCTACTGCGGGGCATTTACCCGCCTTGTCAGTCCCGGGGGTGGGGCATTTGCAAATTTTGCAATGCCCGGGGCCGGGCATTTGCCAGCCCCCAGGCCATTCCCGAGCTTTTGACACGCACGCGGTTTCCTATCAGAATATAACTACACAGAAGGTTTTACTGACTCATCTGTCAAGGACAGGAATAAATTGTAGAGGGTTGTAAAGGCATGTTCACGATTTTACATGTATGTATGCATTTCTTCATTTCTTATCAAGCCAGAATTACATAGCGAAATTGGAGCTATCGATGTGAATCAACGTTTTTTGGTAATTGAATCAACTTTCTGTTGATATTATTTGAAGAACACCCTTTCATATTTATAAAACTATTCATACCATATAACTTTACAGCGCTTTGTTAATTTTAATGTCAATACTTTTATATCAATACTAAAACCATAAACTGGTGCATGTCGTGGCGGCGTGAAGTCTTAATTAGAATATAATCCCAGCGCTATTACAAAGGAAGACGTTAATTGAAACAAAAAATCGCACATTAAAATGACACTATTGGACTGTGTGATCAATAAAAAATGTTGCACTGTTGACGGAGGACGGGGCATTTGCCCTCTTTTTTCGTCCCCACCCCGGGGGATTTGCCAGCTCAAGAGTCCCCACCCCCGGGAATTTGCCATCCAAGGCAAAAAAAATGCTAATTCCCGGGGGTCAGCCCGGGGGGCGCCTGGGCGCAGGTGGAATTGACTGATGCATTTCCTTTCCAACATTTTCATGGCACATATTGAAACACAAAGTTTAAGCAAAACCGTCTTTAAACCAACTGTTTGAAAACGTTACATAAATGACATTTTTTCCCTATGGGACATAAGTAAACCAGACATCGTATAGCTTTCTTCGCGGAACAAGTAAACTTACATGCCCTCCTATGAAATTCACGGCAGAAAGATCTGAAAATGAGACATTCTTTTGAGAAACGGTTGTATACCAAGGTACAACATTCAGCGAAAAAATGAGAAAAAGCTATCCTTGACGTGAAGACGCATTTGAAACGGAAACCTTAGAGTATATACATTTTCACCTCTTATCACCCACCAATTGTTAAAGCGCCTGTTTGACAAACGAACAGCCTTGAGAATCCTACGAACAAACTCCTCTGAGGAAGTATTTCAGATTTCAAAAGCGCTTGATGGACAGAGGCTAGCCACACAATTTTGAAAGAAAAATTGCTATTAGAAGTAAAACTCACAGAAAGGAAGGCAGCGCTCCTGAAAAAAAAAACAACCAGGAAGAAAAACACTGAAATATTGCCTTTCGTGACACAATACCAGCCCTTAGTGTCTATAAAAAAGAAGCTTTAATGAAAAAGTGGAATCTCATACAAAATCAACCACTACCTTGCCAAAATTTTAAAGAACCACCTAAAGTGCTATTTCTTTGAGAAAGGAAAATTATGGCAAAGGAAATGCTTGTTAGAACCAAAACATGAGAGGGATAGATGTGCAGCCTGTCATCCCTTGCAGGTTTTCAATAAAAATAATTTAAGTATCCAAAAGGCTAGAGTCCAGTAATTAATTAATTAATTACTTTTTACTGTGCCCTGTAGTCGACAGGGAAACGAAGTTCGCATTTACAATAAAAGCTTGGGTGATTTTATCAGTACTAATTATTCATTTAATGGCAAACAATGATGAAAATAAACGTTCATGTTGCATAAAAAACAAGAGTTAATGAACGGTTTAGGCGCAATCAAATGATGCATTCTTGCAAGTTTTACTCTTTCCTTAGGGATCAAAGTCTTGAAAAGTGGGTGAAATACATAAAAAACATTAATAATTAACAAGCGTTTTTACTTATTAACTGAGGTTTTCGGACAACCTGCGAAAATCGAAAAGTTTAACCGACTACCGACAAAATTACTGAATTTTAACCGACAACCGACAAGTGGCCCCCCCCCCCATTCAGACCCTCTAAGTGGGTAAGATGGGTTCATTTGCCCGCTCGGGATTTCCCGCGTTGGTCCCGCGAGAAAAAGTTCCCTTTTTGGCCATATAATAAATCTTTTATTGACCAAGCTTGTTCGACTTCGTCTCGGTCAATAACAACGCGAAATAGAACTTCCAGCTATCTAAAACTCCAAGTGTATTTATTTTTCTGGTAGTCAACAACTATCTCCCTCATAGAAATATCTAACCTGATTAACTAACAACAAGAGAACGACTGGACAACTGACAATATATTTGACTAACACAATAAACGACTGTTTAACTGTGACAATAGACGCCGGGATCGAAACACACCAATGACATTACGAGTCTTCATAGCCAATAACATCACGGCTTAACTGACAGACGACCAATAGCATCGCGACTTAATTGACCAGTCAGGTAAATAATTAGAGCTTAAGAGGCTGTCCGCGTAAGAACCGATAAGGCAAATTTCGGTCTATCACAGATTGCCCTGGTTTTCCCAGTGGAAGATAACTATCCTATCCCATGAAGAAATATCACATTTATTTGGACCAACTCAATTTTTTCTCTATATTACAAGAAGATTTTCTCGGTCACCTAAAACTGGTGGTGCGATTTTGGTGAAACTTTAGGGCTCTGTCAAACCTGCCTTACAGAGCTGAAGAAGCTGATTATTTTACACACAATAGTTTTAATTCTGGTTAATAGTTTCAAGCTTTAATGGTTGCATTCTGTAAAAAGTTGGCTGAGATATGATTTTTTTAAAATGTCCTTTAATTTGGTGAGAAGGAAAAGTAATTTGCATAACTAGAGCTGAACGGTAATTTCGCGAAAGTGGCACCTGACCCAGACTCAAGTCCATGATACAACAGAAGTACTAAGACCAGTCTACTTCTTAATGCAATAAAATTTGTGGGCACTCTTCTTTGCGTGCCGTGCAAAGTTCCGTTAATGTTCCAAAATTCGCCATTTTGACCGCTAGCAAAGCTGGAATTGCCAACGGTCTGCATCGGATCGACTAATTTCCACAGCTTTAACGTTTCTAGTTATCATCAAATGTCATTAGACCCTTTAAATGTTGGACTTTCGAAAACATGCTAAGAAAACTTGGTAATCGCTTTTTCGTGAGTTTTTTTTTTGTCGACGATGAACGTGACTTCATTCTCCGTATGCAAATTAGCCTTAGATGCGTCGTTTCAACAAATTGACAGGAAATATAATACTTGTATTCCGTATTTTTAAGGGAAAATATTTCTTCTGTCACGGAAAAACACGAACGACTTAGAATCCCCTTAGGTCTGTTTCTTTTACGAGGAAGATGCAGCAGAAGAAGACACGTTTGCGCGAATTAAAATAATTAATTACTGTGGCCCGTCACGCATTCCCCCGGAGTGACCGTGTATCGATCAGTTCTTTTATCTTATTATATCTTTGATAATCATACAATTTAATCACTGTTAATTCCGATTCTTTACTGCGTGGGAAATACCGTGCTGTTGTATTTATTCCTTCTACGACCGTTTTAACTGAGTCAGTATCCCCGGGCGCCACTAGGATAAGGTTTAATATGACAGCCCATGGTGTAATACACGACAATTAGTTACGAAGTAGTCACTTGGACACGGCCACTGTTATTCACGAGCACTAGCACAATATTTTAAATTACATAATGACAATTAATCTTTGGGAAATCACTCGCAAACAACTTCAGAAATACCGTGCGACACCACAGGACCACACCTGCAAAGTCCTTTAAGCAGCGTACACATTTCCTAGATCCCCGAATAGGCTGCCCTACAAACTTTACGGTGGTATTTGTGTTTATCGCTAATTAACAACATTTCAGTAAAAATTAGGAATGGCATGCAGAAAAAGGCCTAGTTTTTTGTTTACGGTCCGTCTCCTGTTAAATCCCAAAAGTTTTTGCCGGCTGTTAATCACACTAAATTAAGGATCCCTATGTTGTCTATGTTTACTACTGAGCTGATGGAGAAAAGCACGAGCACTCTTGTATGAAAGACGAAAATTTGTAAATTAGGTCTCCTTTTCTTTTCCTGGATTTGAATGGTATTTCAAAGTGACACAAGATTTTTTTAGCATTACCCAGGGCTGTAGGTAGGTTTTTTGTAACGGGGGGCATTATCGCGAGTGGCGAAGGCACAAGCCTTGTAGTGGGGATATGGGGGTATCCTCCCTCAGAAAATTTTCAAATTTGGAGGCTCCGAAATGCTATTTTCAGCACTTGGCATGAGATATGTCTCCGAAAAATAGACCTCGAAGATGAAAATGGCAAACAGTTGCAAATCACTATAATCAAAATAACTGAGTCTAAAGAAAACAAATCCATCCACAGACTTTATTTGTCTGGCTCAACAGGTCCGGGGGGCAGCTGCCCTACGGCTCTGTTACCACGTTGAACTGGCTAGGTTGATCTTCCTTTGACATACATAGGTTGAAAGCTTCCGATTGAGGGTGTTGGGGTCTCAGTTACTCTTCAGCGATTCCTGCAACAAGATTTCGCCTTTCGAACACCTCGTCTTCTTGCAGCAGATCTCTATGGTCAAGTTCAATTTATCTTCAAGTTCATTACATTGGTTATTTCGTCCATTGCCTTATTGTAATTACACTTAGGACTATGTTTAGGTGTTGACTCAAACGGGCCTAGAGTCCAACATGGGCTGGCAAAGGTGAGCATGGAATTGGAACGGGGGTGGGGGGAACTCCCGGTGATGGCCTATACGGGGAGGCTCCGCCCGAAAGGGGTATCTTTCTCAGGCTTCAGGTATATGAAAGGGTAGGAAGTATATGAAAGAGCGAGTGCGCTTATTGCAGCCTTAGCAGCATCTTTGGCGGTTCTTAAAGAAAAAAGAACTAAGTTTAAGAATTTGAGGGAAAAGTAGAAAGACTTCATTTTTCAGAAATTAATATACAGAGGAGAAATTTCACCCCTTTAAGTATAAATGCTTGTAAAAGTAGAGGTGGAACCGGGGGGAGAGAGGGTGGATGGTAAAGTAGGTTAAAAATGGAGAGATGAGAGGAGCACTTGGATGGAGCACATTGTTCAAGAGGGTATAAATACAGAAAAAAACAGCAATCTGGAGGCATTTTTGAAGACTTAATGAAAACGTTATCAAGACAAGAAAAACAGAGAAATCTTGTCCAATAAACCTCTCCGGCAAAGGTGTGGACATGGTTCCTGACTTCTCAATCGTACTCTTCTCGACCCTTTGGCATCAAGTTTTTTCACGTTTCTTGCGACAGGAGGAGCAAATCGGCTATATAAAGTTGAACTGAACATCTGGTACTTTTAAGTCTCACTTATTTCGCTGGCTATCTGGAAATTCACGACATGTTTTCCTGCCACAGTAGTTATTTTGCCAGTATGATCCAGAGTGTGACCGGGGTATTGACAAGACCTTAGGCTCCATTTCCGCTGTCCCCCCGTCTCCCGGTCCCTTGGGGGCTCATTTTCCAGCACAGCGGCTTACAATGGAGCCTAACAAGACCTTTGCGCTCGCAAAAAGCCTGCCAAGTAGGTGTCTGTGCCTTGGGCAGATTGTCATTTTAGTGTTAGCCTGTGTACACACCACCCCCCACCCCTTCGGAGAAGGAGCCCCTTCTCCGATTTTTCCTAAGGGGAGGGGGGTCTGTACACAAGCTATTTATTTTCTGTGCCTTGGGCAGATTGTCATTTCAGTTCCGAATACCTACCAAACCTCTACTCTCGCTAAAATGAGTTCATTCAGTCATTGACTTTGCTACACTTAAACAAGTGACAGCTGGCTAAGTGCGACGTAATATCATTCATGCACTTTGCGACCAACACATTTCCCTCCACACCCCTACTGGGACCACACTCTGTCTTGACGATCTTCGCGGAAAGAACAGCTTGATTATATGAAATAGATAATCCATTTTTCACAATTGATCTCTTCGGCGATTTCATTAACATAATTATATTTGAAACTGGCACCTGTTGCATTATAATTCAATTAGATTGAAACCAAAACAAGATCACCTTGGGAATACGGATGTTATACCCTAACAAAAACTAAAAACTGAGATAATCCCTTTTGCGTATATTCACTGAAAAAAGAAATTATTTTTCCCGTTTCATTCTGCTACCGATAAACGCTTTAAAGATCTTTGAATGAAACTGAAATTTACAGCTAATTTGCCTTTTGCAAAGCTATACATGGATTTTCTCTTTAAAAAAAATTGGAAATGTAGGGATTATGTTTCATGTCAAGTTGTTGCAACGACGCATCTAAGGCTAATTTGCATACGGAGAATGAAGTCACGTTCATCGTCGACAAGAAAAAAAAACAAGAAAAAGCGATACCAAGTTTTCTTCACATGTTTTCGAAAGTCCAACATTTAAAGGGTCTAATGACAGTTAGTGATAACTAGAAACGTTAAAGCTGTGGAAATTAGTCGACCAGATGCAGACCGTTACAATTCCAGCTTGCTGCACAGGGTCCAGAGGAGTTTCGTGTGAATAAATGAATTACTTACCTTGAAAAATGTCTATGCCTGTCGCTTAGCACGATTAATTAGCCAAGTGGGATCTTTATAAATCTACTGTAAACGATTTCTTCGCTTCTTATCTGACCCAGATCGACTTTTGAAAATCAATAACCGCAAGCCATATCCTCGCTGGCGCACGGCACGTCGCCCGGAGGGCGACCGAGGCACGAAGTGCCGAGTAAAAGAAAGGACAGGGGAGGAAACTTGTACCACGTGACTTAGTTCTATGTGAACCGCAGCACTCGGTGACGGAAGTCGGAATGAGACCGGAAACGCAAAAGCAACAGACCGCTGCTAATTCGAGAATCAAAACATCAGCTGCGGAGAGAGTTTTAAAGATCTCAGAGATCTATGCGAAAACAACAGAGTTTTAATTGAAGTGAAGATCTTTCAAGACTAGACATTTGTTGTACGTTTCAACAGTCTTCGATGTCTTAAGCAGGTTTTGTTTGTGCGAAGGCTTCCCAGTAGTCGCAAAACGCACAGCCAAAGACGCAAGAGGTAATAAAGTTGGACCACCGAAGAATGGCACAGTCGTGATGATATTACAGTTGCCTTGTATGCCCGCTCTACTGAGTGTCACTTTTTATTGCAGGAGTACACACGACCCGTAAATCACTATCCGTAATATATTAACATTCTCCAAACAAAACTAACAAGCTGGGCCCAGCGTGATACAGCATTGAAGAAAAACATTACATTCACGGACTAAAGAAAATCGCTTAGTTATTCAGATCCAGAAGGCACTTTGGAGAAAACTGGAACCCTTGTTCAGCCGTAATAAAAAGCTTCACGCTTCTAAAGAGGTCAAAGAAAATGCGCTTTCATCAGAGGGCAAATCCTGCCGACCAGAAACAATAACCACAGTAAATCGATATGTGTCATGACCTCTCAGTGTGAAACATGCGGCTAAAATCCCCGCTAAAATCACATTTGCTGTAGAACCTTCCAGAGCATAATCTACCCAGCAGAGGAAAAAAACTTTATTGGAAGGAGCAGCATTTTGATTTTGGCATGAGGCAAAAGTCGTGTAGGCTTCCCTTTTATTGCTCCGATCTTGAACACATTTACTTTACTACGTCATTTCCGTCACCATGTGTTGCGGTGCACACCGAACGAAAACGCTCTCTAGAAGCCGTAAATTTTCGTCGCCGAAAATGAATTTGAACGCTTTCTTATGCCGTTTTCCTACAGTATTTGGCAAATACATAAGAATTCTATATCAGGTTAGTAAAATCAGGCGATTTGATTCACTTCCATTTGAGTTTCAGGGATTCGAAAATCGGCCCCAGATTTGTTTCCTCCCTTTTCGTATTTTATATAGCCTGCGAAAACATCCGTTTCTCCTCACTCTTCGTCGCTGAGGACGTTTCGCGCGGAGGAACGTCTGCGACTCAGCGACAGAAATTCCATACTGATGACGTAAAATCTGTCCAGAATCCGGTCAGAAGCGCTGATTGGTCGACGGAGCAGTTACATTGTTTTAGCTATTGTTTACAAATGACAGACAAAAGACAAAAGGCCAAAAAGGTCAAATGTAAACACGAAGAATCTCTAACAAAACAGTCAATATTTGTGGAATATAGTCTTCTCTAGAAGAAGCACTTGAGTTTTGCTGGAGCTCGTGGGCAGATCAACACAACACTTTACCAAAATCGACCAGAAGACACGCAAAATTAGACAAATTTATATTTGGAACCCCATGACTACCGGATATATTTTGTAAACATTGATTTGCGTCATCAGTATGGAATTTCTGTCACTGAGTCGCAGACGTTCCTACGCGCGAAACGTCCTCAGCGACGAAGAGCGAGGAGAAACGGATGTTTTCGCAGGCTATATTTTATACTGTAAGCCGATCTTGCGAGCCCTCAGTCTCTTGGTTTGCGGTCTATAGAATGTGTAACGAAACCGTAACGCGATCAAAATAACCCGTTTTTTCAGAGTTTTTCGACGGGTTTTGATGTTCTAACGACAAACACATCTCCTCTGGACCCTGTGCTTGCTGTCAAAATGGCGAATTTTGGAACATTAACGGAACTTTGTACAGCACGCAAAAAAGAGTGCCCCCAAATTTTATTGCATTAAGAAGTAGGCTGGTCCTAGTACTTCTGTTTTATCATAGACTTGAGTCTGGGTCAGGTGCCACTTTTGCGAAATTACCGTTCAGCTCTAGTTATGCAAATTAATTTTTGCCGATAAGCAAATTAAAGGTCATTTTAAAAAAATCGTATCTCAGCCAACTTTCCACAGAATGCAACCACTAAACCTTATAACTATTAACCAGAATTAAAACTTTTGTGTGTAAAATAATCAGCTTATTCGGCTCTGTAAGGTAGGTTTGCAAGAACCCTAAAGTTTCACCAAAATCGCACCACTTCCGACGGCAAACTGGCTAGTTTTAGGTGACCTAGAAAATCTTTCTGTAAAATAGAGAAAAAATTGGGTTGGTTCAAATAAATGTGATATTTCTTCATGGGATAGGATAGTTATCTTCCACTGAAAAAATCAGGGCAATCCGTGATAGACCAAAATTTGCCTTATCGGTTCTTACGCGGACAGCCTCTTAAGCTCTAATTATTAACTGTCAACAACAACAGTCCTATTCAGGACTACGTTCACCCGGACGATCATACTCAATCTACTTATGAAATGACTCCTGGGTTCAAACCTTTCACAGTAATCAAGAACCTATTTAACCTAAATTGCCAATGACTACTCCAAAATATAGAAGCTCTTTTTACAGACTTCAAAAAATGTAGGTTCTTACACGCAGGTTTTTATCTTAGTACAAATGTTTAACTCCAGCGGAATCACCGAGAGCACAGGCATGAATTTTAGCCGTCTCCTAGAGTCGCAAACTCCCGAGAAAGACGTCTGAATCAATTCACTCGGCAATAATCAAACTCGATCATGGCAACTAAGAATGAAATACATACGGGACGCTACAGGGGATCCAGTCTCACAACAGCCTCCTCGAAGCCAAAGTATAAGGATTTGTATTAATTTTGTATTTACTCTAAAAACGTCATTTTAACAAGTTTTAATGTTTTGGTTTCTTACCTACAGTGTACTAAGAATAAGACTGTCTTCAAAACTTTCTAAAATGACGTTTTTAGGGCAGAAAACAATAAGAAAAAGCTAGAAAACAACACAAAGATATCTCAGTCTATATAAGGTATGTGCACTTAAATGGCTGTTTATGTGTAATATAACCGTTTTGTCGACCTTATAACATAACTTCCCATACAATTTCTCATAATTTGGCTTCGAGAAGGCTGTGGTGAGTCTCAGGGCTCTCTGTGGCGACATCTCCTTCAATTTGTCTACTTAAAGAAAGCAAGCAAGCAAAGAAAGGAAGAAAAATTAGCAGAACCATTGCACTAGACAGTGGAAACGATAGAAAAGTCGAAAATTTGCTACAGTAACTCGACACAAGCTTGATATAAATCTCACAAGTCTCCTTCGCCTCACTCGGGCGTGAGTCACGCAAGCGGGAGCAGGGAACTTGCGTGACTCCGGCTTGAGCGGCTGTGAAGGAGACTAATCGCTCACTGATCCCTCGCTTAACGAATTTATTACCGAAACCACAAAGCGGCATTAAAAGAAAACCTCCCGACTTTCTGCATTGATTCTTCATTCGTAGTTCGTTTTATCAAGTCATTAAGTTTCGAAGAGAAGGGCTATTTTCCTGTTTACGATAAAAAATGTCGAAACTTTGAACTCCGGTCAACGCAAGCATGCGATCCGCTGAATATTCAGTGAAAATCCCACTGAACTACCCGCGATTTTCGGGTAATGACGTCACACTGGACAGCATTAGCGGCTCTCTAATTCAGACGTTTCCCTCGGGAGTTTGCGACTCGTCTAGATGGCTGAAATTCAGGCTACCAGGACACCGTTTGTGGTTCAGTCTCGGTTTAGTCAATTTTCAGCGCGTCTGGAATTGTGGTCAGAGCGGGACTCGGCCACACTGTTTCCTGTAAATCCGTAGGCACATCAATGGGTTAGGTAACTCGTTGGGGGTATTTTTTCTACGCTCCCAGATTCGTGATTAGTGAGGAAGAAGGACTTGTATATCTTACCTGCCAAAAACTCAGCCGTTGTTGGTTCTGTCCTGGATGTTGTCGATACTGTTTTACCTAACGAGAACGAGGAAATACAATTATATTATATGCAAATTGACTAGCCCCATTAAATGTTAAACACACAAGTGCTTGGTATTGTGATTGGCACATTCTATGTATCAGGTCTGGTATTTTGCTTTTTCTAGAGAGAATCATTGGGCAATTATTCTCTCTTGTATTTACCTTTTCTATTACGACCAGCCCAGTGATCATAGCCTCTCACGCTTCGAGGTCCTAACTGCATCGTAAGAGGCAACAGCGATTAACTTCGCGGGGCAAGCTCTTTCAACTCGGGTGGAAAGGGTCTCGGAGTAAAGCGAAATTAAAGAGCTTGTCTGCCGGGGCAGCAGCGTCTGAGAATCTGTGTAATAGATTGCTCGTAATTTCACTTTAACAAGGGAACTCTAGCGTTCTCGAATAGCGTTTTTTTCTGTTCTTTTTAACGACCACTGTTCTCACGCTCAGGAAAAAGCAATTAGCGAGGTCATCTCCATATTTTTTTTTGTCCCGGCCTCTCATCAATGTAAAATGCATCTTCTAAACAAAGTTGTTTGCGAGTGTTTGCGTGAGTTTAATTCTATTTGTGTCTTATGTGTTTGCTTAATTTTCCAGCATCTTAGGGATGTACCTGCAACGTTTTCCATCAAATGACCCATATCTATTTTCGCCAGGGCTTCTTGTAAGACTTCCATCGTAGCATCGTCGCCATTTAATCTCTTCCACTCACCGAGCATCGCATTTCCTTTATCACTTAGACTCAGGTTTTCCATATCAAAATAGTTAAGTAGTGAGTTAGCAAGTCCAAGAATTTTCCCGAGCTGCCTCCAGTGTGTGCCAAGATCCGCGGCAAGGTCATGTAGTAATGAGGAAGAAACAGATGTAGTCTCCTTACTGCGAGTTTCGAGCACCTTCATCTCCTTCGCTGCAACAGCAAAGCATGAGAACGTTAGTTCTATCTATCCACGAGCAGAGAAGTTCTAACTACGGCGTCACACGCAAACAGCACCAGAAAAGTTTAAAATTTGGACATAGGAGCTCGCAAGCAGCTGTAAAAGAAAGCAAAATGATAAATACAAAACGAATCATAGTGGTACACAATCGCAAAAGTTATGGTTGAACGGGCTGCAAACACGTGCATCTTGTTTCGAAGCATTACTGCAAAACAAGTTGAAAAGTGTTATGCTCGTTTCACCGCCAACCGCGTTCAAACCAGACACTGAACGTCTTTTTATCTTACCGTCAACAAGCTCCATTGCAGGACTTCCTTGAACTTGGGGAATTGTCATTTTCCCTTTACCCATAACGAAAGCTTTTAAAAGCTTTTCTAAATTTACACTTTTATTCAGTTAGCAACAGATAAAAGAGAGGGCATTTGTTCGTAATTCCACATGTGGTACCATTTGATGGCCTGCTTACTTGAACCGACCTGGCTCGCTTTGCCCATGTGACTTTTACCCCGGTATAACATTACGTGTAGCCTGCGTCGTAGACTTAATTTAACCTCGGTTAGTAACGTCTGCAAAGCAGCGCCGAATTCCTTCTTCTGGGCCCCCAAAGGACCGAACGAATTACCGGAAGTACGTTTTGAATTTCCTTTGATTGCTGATTGGCATATTGACAATGACGTATTTAAAAGGCTAATCACGGCGCGTAATCAAATCCTGGTGCATAGGTGGGGGCCATGAACAAAGATTTCGGCGCTGTTTCGCAGACAGACTTATTTTTGATTAAAAAAAAATGGTTTGGAAAAATGTAATTTTTTCAATTTGAGAGCATTATAGACACGCCATGAGCTTTCACATGAAAAATAATTTGTCACTGTCTCCGGTTAAAAATTGTTCAGTAGGGAACTTAAGCACCAGACGCTCTTGGTACCGCGGACGCTAACCGAAGTATTTTTGTAGCATGACAGCCACTGCGCATGTCAAGACGTTCTTGGGCTGCAGTCACTGACTTCAAAACGCGGGTTCTCAGGTTGAAACCAGAGGTTCAGAGACGTGAGTATGAACACAGCCAAAATGGTTAATATTTGATGTCTGATATAACAGTTTCCAATCCTTGTATGTTCTTTTGTTATGTTATAACTTTAAAAGCGTAGTAGACTCTTTGAAAGACATTTTCAACTGGATTATTCTGTCCGCGTTCGTGATGGTTTCACGTTGGTTTGCTTAATGATTTGCATTTGGCGCGTAAACTGCGTCCCCTATCAGGTTCTGCTCGGCCAGCCATGTCTTTCGTGAATCAAGAACGTCTGTAAGTTCCCTAGTATTTATTCTAGATCCGCAGATGTTCTGCGCATGATAAGCAGAGTCAAAAGCGCCAGATTTGGGATCGAGAATGTTGGCCAGCCCGAAACCGTTAAGATCACAGAAACAGTTCGAATGAGAAGTGTTACCCACTGTCCTGTTGCTGGCTTGGCTCATGCATTGGGAACTTCCAGCCCGGTCAGTCGGGCTCCCGACATTGCAATACGGTGGACGTTAACAAACAATTGGTTCACGCACGAAAAAAACAGCTCTGCGGGTGCATTACACGTTTTAGTACATTTCTTTGACGTCCTCTCCACGACTAAGACGTGAAACTTCCTAATCATTTTACCAGGGACATAAAGACAGAATTTTTCTTTCCGTCTTTAAGTTGGGCGCGGTCCTTGAGAATTAATTAATTTTTGGCAAATTGAGCGAGGCTTAAAAACTGCGATAAAGTTTCAAGAATAGAGAGATTAAAGGGACAGGTTCACGGTTCAGCGCATGCTCATTTATCAAAATGCTGTTGTCCTGCTCGGACATGCTGCATCGTGTATGCAAGCAACATGATCATGTCCTGATGTTGTCAAAGAACCAATCTGCGCACTCCCCTAGCAGTCACTTGCACTTGACCAACATAAATATTTGCAAATAGCTGTAAATTAATCAAACATGGAACAAAACCTTCGGGTCAACCATAAATCCAACGTTGGTAGTCAGACGACGATCGAATAGCATCCCATGATGCACCTCGTTTCATGTTATATTAGCCGACCGCGTACGTGACATTCTTCAGCTCGCTCGAGCTGAACATCAGTTCAATAGCTTCTTCTTTTGAGAATATCGAGTGAGCTTATATTTACTGTGCTTTAAAGGAGAATTTCAGCGTCACTTCGAAGGGTTTTAGTTTAGATGTGTATTACTGATCTGTCGAGAACTACTTGTGCGCTCGGTCGTAACCAAACTCAAAGTATATGACTCGGCAACTGATAAGGTTCACTAGGAGAACCGAAACCATGACTGATCTAAAAAGTGGCTCCAACAAAACAGCCGCTACGCTGTGAGGCTAATTACCAAAGGAGGATTATTACAGCATCACGCTCAAAGGAGCTCGGCAGTTATAAATAAAATTTAACATATCGATGCGACAAACAATCCTCTGAAGCACAATCTACCCGGTGTTGACTCAAGCAATCTTCAAGGAAATTTCCTGGCCAGAATACTGATCTGTTCTTTTGAATATATAAAGTTTCTTATGTTTCTTTTTCAAATTCTGAGCAAGGATTGTTTAACGCTGTGCCGCTCGCATGCTGCGTGGCACCTTTCTTTGGGTTCCTATCACACTGAAACACACTATTATCCACCGCTCCTTGTTCTAATTAAAACTAGGAGTAATCGGAGCTTAGCAGAGTGCGTTCGATATGTTTGCTAGGCGTACAGGTAGCAGTGGAGCGGAAAGGTTGGATGGTTCTTGCGATAGATAACTACGATTATGGCATATTTTGAACGTCAGGGTTGCGTACAGCGAAACCTCGATTTAAACTGTGTATCATAAGGAAAAGGTTTTGAAGGCTAGTGCACGATCAGCGTGATATCGTATGGTTCGTCTCAAGTGCTTGTTATTTCAGGAGACACTGGCCAGAGTGTTTCGGGCGTGTAAAAAGAACTTTTTGTTTTACTGGCGCAATAGATGTTCTACTGGGCGCAGTTGTTCGAAGGCCGATCAGCGCTTAACCCGGGTTTCTTTTTCTTTTGTTAAAAAAACATTTCTTTGGATAATTTTCTCAGTTATTTTTAAGAGCGTCCAATTATCAACTTGTTGGCAAAATGAAGCCGGGTCGCGAGTTCGATTCTTGTCCAGGGGATGAAAATTTCCTTTGTCACGGGAGAGGATGGTTTCTCCTCCTTCCAAGCTGAAAATGTTCACTGGAAGTGTATGTTTGCTGCTCACTAGTGTATCATTAAAATTAATAAAAATAAAATTAAAATTAATTTAGGCAACCACGAGTTCGTGAGAAAAAAACAAAATGGCTGGTGAAAGGTAAGTGACGCCGACTGATTTTATTTTTCTTTTTATGATCCGAGTTGATCCGAGTCCAACTTTATTTTATTTTTATTTTTTTATTCGATCCGAGTCGACCCGAATGGATCCGAACCGGACTGGCGGTCCCGACTTTTGTACCTGTAAAATGTTCGTTTGTCCAGTGCCGAAAATATCACACGTAATGATGAAATAGTGCCGCCGAGCTTCACATTTTTGTTGATTTACTTTGTGGAATAACGGCCGCTGAGCTACACAACTCGCCGGTAAATTTACTTTGTGGTACTTGAACGGACGCCGAGCTAAACAACCCGGTTTGATGCATGCACCAGGAGTAGCACGTATTTTTCAAAGAAAAATATGAAGGCTTAATCCAAAGTAAAATTTTACTCAGGGCGTAAACTTTCAGCACACTTTTGAAAGATGAACGCTTTGGAAGATTCATTAAACACAGATCGATAGTAGACCTTCAGCAAACTCTTAAATATGTACGCTTTACGAAAATTCAGCGTACTTTTAAGACATGAACGATTTACGAAGACAGAATAGCAGACCTCAGCAAACGTTTGAAAGCTGAACGCCGAGGACACACGAATCACTAAGTGAGTTAGCGCGTCAAAGTGATGCAAAACGTAAGCAAAGCGCCTCAGAGCGAGGTAAATGTGTGTCGACGACGACGACGAAGATGCAATCTCGAAAAAACTTCCCTTATTAATTGCACAGGACAGCCAATAATACAGAGACCACCCAACACAAATTAGGGGTTGCGTTCTCGTACCTCGAACGCAATAATTATAGTCAAATTTCTGTTAAAAATAACCACTTCCAATTGAAGATACAAAGTGATTGCTTCGGCATAAAGCGCTCTCGAAAGCACCCAACAGATTGTGGCCTTCAGCAGGCTTTACAGATATATTATCACACATGGCGTTGAAATGTGATAAAAATTTCAGCCATCTTTGGTCGACAAAAAAGTCTTCAAAATGTGGGTACTTCTGGGTACTTCTTAGCCAGTACAATATTTAGGACTTCATTTTGCTGGCGTGAGGTCCACATTTGGAAGACTTCAACATATAATCCAAAAAATGGCGAATATTCATGACCTTGTTGTGGGTCACTGAACACTTTGTGATGCGAAGACTAAGTGAAACAATAAAAATAAATGTTTCTATCTGGAAACTTCATTGCAAATCGGAGAAATCATGTTAAAATAACAAAATAATGCAATTTTCGTACTTTTACTGGAACACAAATGAGAAAAAAGCCGACGAGAAAACGACCTTATTTCACGATGGAATCTGCCATGACTGCGTTATTGCGTGATGCGTCTGGAAAAATGCATCATGGGATACTATTCGATCGTCGTCCGGTTGGTAGCGTTGGCATAATCCACTGATGTTTTCTGCGATTTTAGTGCTCCTGCATCCTACTTCAGGTTACTCTGAAATACACTTCTACTTTGAAATACACTCTGAGATCAAAGTAATATAAAATTGGAAAAAAGTAATTTAATTAATGAGCATGTGCTTAACCGTGAACCTGTCCCTTTAAGCATCGCGTCTACGACAAACGGGCACATGGTGACCAAGTTTTCCATTTACTTATCGTTTACTGTTCATTACAACTACAGGAAAATCGGTAGGTTCACTAAAATTCTTTCCATTACGATTGTTGTAAGCTGTTTTTATCTGCTCATTTCTCATTTTGAAAATTTCTCGAGTTGAATCTCACTTTTGCAGTTTGCCGTAAACGTGATGTCCTTAATGTAAATGTTTATTTGTGAACCACAACATCTATCTCACCTGCAGGAAGCTTAGAGGCGGAAACGGCTGGTTCTTGGGAAGTTTTCGTTTCGGTTTTACCTAAAGAGAATGAAAGAGTACAGAAATTTTAGTAGTCTGAAATGTAAGGGTAAGGGGGTGGAGACAGATGATATGAAATGAATGGAATTACATGACATGAAATGACATCAGACTATACCATGGTAAATGTGACACATTGAAATGATTGGCTGTAACAATGTTCGTATGTGGAGACAAAGGAATGATCTACTATAGGATATAGAGAGCTTTGCTGGCTCACGTCTCCGCGCACGCGTAACTCCGCTATCATCACAAACGTGGTCATATATATGAGAAGCGACTGAGCCAAAATTACCAAGCACACAATTTTAAAGGTCACAGTTTTTAAAACGATAAATTAACAAGAGCCATTTGAGGACATTTTATTATTACCTTGTCTGTAGTTCAAAAAACCCTTGTACGACAAGTAGTCTTCCTCTGAAATAATAGTTCTCAGTTTTACCTCACTGAGGTCAAGTGTTTCCAGAACCTGCCTGGTTACAAGAGTATCTTGAACCACTTCGTTAAGACGGCCAGTCCGGTATTCGTTCCACAATGCCTCAAGAACTTCTAAAGAACTGCAGGACACTGTTATGACCAAGCTTCCTAGTCTGGAGCTTTGAACGTCAACTCCAAGCTTTATTTTCAGGTATCTGATCAAGAGCTCTAATGGCCTCTTGAATGAATAAACAACATACCAGAAATCAAGAGCTACTGGGATATTTTGCTGACTTGCTTGCAGTTCCGTTAGTGTGGATAGGCCAGCAGTACCTTCTGCTGATGACTGCTCTGGGGGTAATGATATACGTGTCTCCAGACGTTCAAGTGGCAATTGGTCGCCTTCCACTTGTGCGGATGAACCAACAGCTGACCCATTTGCCCTAAGACTTTCAAGGAAAATAAGAATTTCCATGTGTCTTTGTTCTTGTCTTTGTTCTTGTTCATTTTTCATTTGTTCTTGTTTAGTTTGCATCTGTTCCATCTTCTTATCTAGCTTTTCGAGCTTATCTTTGGTATCCATGTCCAATAAGTACCACAATCGAAGTTCATCAACACATTCCTTTGCGTCCGGTGTTAGTGGTTCATGGAAAAACTTTTCGATGGAATTCTTCCACTCATCTCTGTTTGCACTACTTATCCTGCCGGCAATTCTCAATAGGGCATCACTGATTTCCATCCAAAGATTCTCAAAATCAGCATTTGATATCTCCATACTGCGGTTGTGACCATAAATTTTGTTACGGTAAAATTTAATTCTAACTAAGTCTGCCTCAAGACTGTGATCAGTGCTGTTAGGCAAACTGTCCCATCCAGTTGCAGGGGGGGGGGGGTGAGGCTGCATATTGCTCGAAGCAATTTACAAAGTAAGCTGATATCAAAATCAGTCGACTTTCCATACGTTCCTGGCCCACTTGGGTTGTAAAGGATGTACCATTCGGGGTGGGTAAGGACTCTTCGTCTCAGTGTTTGAAGATTTGACTTTATGGTAGGGTTACCAAGCACAGCTGGAAGGTTGGCTGGTGGATGGATACTGTCAAACACCTCCCTCAAAAGTGCGAGACCTCCACGCATCAGAAGTCGTGTCAAACGCTGAAAATTTGCTTTTTCATCTGTTGTACTTAACGCTTCATCTGCCGCTGATGGTGATGAACCTGTAGCCATTTCTATACCAATATCATAAGTGACACTAAAGAAAAAGAGTGACAGAAAAGACAATGTTACTTAAAACTGAGAGGGGAGAGGTGGGTGGAAAGTCTACCAGCATATTAGTCTAAGCCCAAGTCATTTAAACTGGAAGCCTCGGGTAGGAACGGGATCGAGAATTGAAGGTAGCTTAGTAAAACTAATTAACCTCTAAAGAAAACTGGCAATCCACACAAAATAATAAAAATACGTCTTGCAGCTGAGTACAAACGTGTACTGGATATATTATGATTGACTAAAAACTTTTATTTTACATAGTTGATAAAAGTGGGTTTTAATTAAGGACATGGTGTGGAGAAATCATTCCTATCCGCCCCCATCCTGGTTCACTCAATAGGAAGCAATAACCGGCTCATTGACCCTCGGACGTACAAGTGGGGCAATCTTGCAGCCAAGATGCAACCTTGTCTCCAGGGCACTTTTCCCTGGCTTTGGAGAAGCGCCCTGGGGACGAGGTTGGCCAAGATGGCGACTATTGTTGGTGATGTCACAGGCCTCCAGGAATGCCAACGTGAAAATATTCGTGCATGCTGAGTGGTGCAGAAAAAATATTCTTGCATTGCCAGGATTATTTTTAACCTCAAGAAAAAATATTCATGCTCGATGTTGGACAAAAAAAAAATCATGAGAGGAAATTGACAACCCTTTTCTTATCCCTCACCCCACCTCCCAATAACTTTTCTAATGATCTGCCCCTAAAATACAAATCTCATAATAATCTAAATTGCTATAGTAATTGAATTTCTAATTCATTTCCTTCTAATGTATGTACTAGCGCATAGTGCAGTTTTGTGGTCTCAGACAGTAAATCAAGGGCATGACTCCCTCAGAATAATGTACGACTAAGACTTGCGATTGCAGTTCAGCTCACTTTACACTGGGAGTTTTTAAAAGAGAGGTCATCTCAGGGCCTTCAAATATCAATTATTCAATTATCAGGTGAATTATGTGAAGGACCAGTTTACTCGATCAAAAACATTGCAGGAAACATAGGTCTAATTCTTTGCATTAATGTGACAATTCTAGCCTTTGACAGTGCAAGAAAATCAACTGTGAAGTGTTAAAATATATTAAACAGAAAAAATACAATGGAGTCCACATAAAACTGCTATCTATAAGGTCATGCAGGCTGCGTTGCATATACATTATGCTAATTTTTATCGGTCCATGGACCTGATCTGGTCCAATTGTTTTGTCCTCACCCCCACTTTGGACCGGGTCCATGGACCACTTTCCTGGACTGGGTCCATGGAACCCCTGTCATGGACCGGGTACATGGACACTTTTTTTAATAATGAGAAATGAACAAAAACAGAAATAGTGCAAAATAAGATTTGACAAGAAGCTGTCACCATATTTAGTTGTGCTTACATGACCCACACTCTGCTTGCAAATACCACGGCAGTCGCAAGACTGTTAAGCTAATTCAAAAGTTATCACCAAGGGAGGAATTACGTACTACAGTACAAAGACTCTCATTACCCTTAGAAAGACAAGCTGGAGTTTAGAATTCATTGCTTTTAGAGCAATCATGACTTAGTCACATTGCAATTCTCTATGACAGTCGATGTAGCTTAATTAGTTTTAGCTACAATCCGCTTCTTCGAGATTTGGATCTGTAAATCACTATCCATGAGAATTAATCATCCTGCTAAAAACACTAACGAGCTGGGCCCAGCGTCACAAAACATTGCAGGAAAAAGTGACATTCACGGGCAAAAAGAAAATGGCTTAGAATTATTCAGATCCAAGAGGCACTTTGGAGAAATTAAACAACCTAAAACTCTTAATCAACCACAAAATTAAGAGCTTTACATTTCAAAAGAGGTAGAAAATCAATGTGCGTGTCATGACCTCTCAGTATAGGAGATAAGTGGCAAAAATTCACATTTGCTCAGTCAAAATGTTTTCCTTCAAAGCATAATCTACCAGTCAGAGAAAACAATTCATTGGAACAAGAAGCATTTTGGCATAAGGTAAAAGTGGTGTGTAATGCCTAGCGAACACCCCTTTTTTACACTATGTATTACTAAGCACAATTAATTATTATCACTGCTCAATCGAGCATTGTTTGTTGTTCATTTCTTAATCTTATTTTTTCACCATTTCTGTTTTTGTTCATTTCTCATTATTTTAAAAAAGTGTCCATGGACCCGGTTTTCGAGATTATTACTGATCAATCAAGCATTGCTTATTGTTGTTTTTCTGTTTTTGTTCATTTCTCGTTATTTAAAAAAGGTGTCCATGGACCCCATCCATGACAGGGGGTCCATGGACCCGGTCCATGAAAGTGGTCCTTGGACGCAGTCCAAATAAGTCAGGGGCACCCAAAGACGTCAGAAATGTCTCAGATGGTTTTCTCTATGCTGAAGCTGGTTTGGTTAATTTGGAGTTGCCCTAAAAACTACTTATCTGTTTGGATGTCTTAGGGGAACTTATTTGGTCATCACGAGTTTTAGGTAACAAGTATTATATTTAACGAGTATTATAGTTTTCCTAGTCACGTTTTTAGTATGTGGCTTTTTGGTCGGTTTTAGCTTTTTATATTTTATGTTTTTATTACCGAGTTTTTTATATGTATATGTTTATTGAGTTGTTTTTAAAATTGAATAATATTATATAGCTGTAGTTATTATAGTTTTTTTTTATACACATTCGTATTTTGAACAAATTTTTTAGCTCTTTGATGTAACGTGTTACAATAAATGATTTTTTTTTTTTTAGGTGGCATTTTCATCTCATCTGAAAGTGTTAGCTACCCTTATGGGTCTAGTCGAAAGATCGAGGACATGAAGTAGCCTTGCTTTCATTAGAAAATTATAGGGGATGCTTTTTCTTTATACCAAAAGTTTTAGGAGACCTTTTTTAACAATAATCGCAATATCTTGGTATCAGAATGTGAATAACACAACCTCAGAAAATTGTAGTTAAGTGATTAAGTTAAACCTCCGAATATTTTAGACAAATGGAATGGTTATCCAGAAATTTTTAGCTTTTGTCAAGCTTCAGAAATTTCTAGACAATATGTGCTCCTTCGAACAGTTATGACCCCTGGTCCATGTTTTGTCCTCACCCAGTTTTTACGACATATTGTCAGAAGATTTCAATAGAATTTATGCTCATTATTTCATTGAAAATGCGGTCTCGAACATGACGAGTTGTAAAAGAGGACATATGTACCCCACTGGTCCCTCTTACAAGTTAAATTGGGGTGAAACAAATCCAAAATCCTTCCCATTCTTGCTCTAGAATACGATCAAATGTAACATAATACTGTATGAAATCTGTAAAGAGCTGATGCTAAATTTATACCAACAACATAGATTTCTAAATTTTTGTGATTACATTCTCTTTGAGACAAACTTACCTCAATTTCTAAACAGTGAGCTGGGAGGTTAAAGCAGTTTCCATTTCACTTCTAGATTCTAAACATTCCAGTACTGAACCACTTCCGCCTTTTAATATTTCGAGCCACGTCACTTGAATGTGATAAAGATATTCTACCCATAACATGTAAACTTGACGTGAAGCTTAAAATGGTGTGGTGAACTACCCATAAAACAGCTTTAGTTTACTCCCAAAGTTGCTAAAAAATTGATCAGTTGTAGACGACGGTCAGCACTCGTTAACATCCGTCGAAAGGCCCTCTTATCTTCGGTTGGATTTCGTAAACGTATGACGTCACGCTCGCCTCGAAGTGCAATATGTGATTCTTCTGCACTTCGATCGACGGTATCCGTCTTGCTGATTTTTGGTGAGAGATTTTGTCCCACTTTTTGGACCATTGCTCGATTGATTCCAATCAATTCAAACAAGAAGATGCCACTGCCTCCGTTTAAAGGATACGTACATACACACATACATACATACATAGTTTATTTGGTAACGCAGGTTACAGAATATGCAAGACTGAAGTCCTGATGTGGACCTGCCCATCTACTTGTTAAAAAAACTAAAGTATATACATGTGAATAAATAGAAAATCAACAGAAGTTAAAAAATAAATAATAATAACAATACAAATATAAATAAGATTAATAAAGAAATTCCTCATTCCTATTTCTTATCATGGAAGATTCCTTATTATAGCTTATAGAATTAATTAAGTCCTTGCTAGATCTAAGTCTTTTTTAAAACATTCTAAGCTAGAAGACTTTTTGATCGAATCAGGAAGTGAGTTCCAAGTAATGGCAGCTCTATGCTTAAACGTCAGCCTGCCAATTTCTGATTTGGGACTTGGAAATTCAATATTCATTGATTTCCTCAGGCAGTGAGATGATTGTTTTAACATTACTAGATCATTTAAAACATTGGTATTGCATCTATAGTAGGATTTATACGCTTCTACTAACAGTCTCTTAGTATAGTAAAATGATAAATTGTTCCAGCCTTTCAATTTATTTAATTGATCAGCATACGAATTCCTTGAAAGTTTAAAAATAAGTTTAGAAGCTCGTATATGAGCACGCTCAAGATCATCCATTATGCAGGTGAGCAGGAACCCCATACTAGTATTCCGTATAAGACACTTG